AAAAAAAGCAAAAACAGGTAATAATTGTTACTAAAATGCAAGAAAATACTTACGCTGATCACATGAGCACAGAATGTTTCCAAAGAGACATCCAATTCAGATAGAAACATTAGATAAGAGCACCATAATGTAACCCGCATTTTCGAATTAAGATCTAAGTTATTGAGTTTGAAAAAAAATTAGAATTTTCTGTGAAATGTTAAGCAACAAAATATAGTGATGGGATCAAAAAAAGAATTTTCTTACCATTGTTGGACCAGAACTCTCCGTAAATTTCAGAAACATATTGTACTAGTTCAGGCACTAACAGAAGAGGCACGCTGGAGGTCACAGTTTGCAAGCAAGTACTCTTTTCCGACAATCCGAACAATTCCAAATCCCGCTCAATCCCAGATTTCCCTTCAATGACATGAATCACCCTACATTGTTTTCCAATCTAGTTCAAGCAAACTAACATACCAAGTCCACTCAAGATAGAAGGTAATGATTTCGCTAATCTCTTTGGATGCAGGTAACACATTACACTAAGAGGTTCAGAGACACTGCCCTCGAATGTACTGTGAGTAATGAGCCATTCAGCTAAGTGGCATCGGAATCTGCGTATATGGTAAACAATATCAAACAGTTCAAAGCAATCAATGAAAAACTAACTTCCATTGGCGAATTCCTTTCTTCTTGTCGCCAACACCAGGAAACGGTTTCAACTCATCAAACTCTAATTCAGTCAAGAGGTAAATAAGTAGTTCGTAGAGCGCAGATCCATGAGAAGAAGCTGCACGAGATAGGACGTCACAAACAGTGTCTGTGAGATCATCGTCATCTCCTAATGCCTGGAAATCATAAAAAATTTGACAAAACAGACGCATCTCTTATTGTTTTTGATTCCCTCGAAGGCGTAAAAAAAGCAGAGACAACGCACAGAACGAAATCGCTGCAGAATAGATGTCAACAATGAGCAAGCAGCGTTAAAACTGCATCCTATGTGAGCCGAGGACAGCGCAAACTTCCATAGATCTTTTGCAGTCTTTGATCCATTCTGAAAACTTGTAAATGATTGATAGCCTGATCAGAACTGCACATATCACATGCCTCAGAACAAGGATCGCAGAGTTCATCCAATGCGCCAAGTGTTATCAGATTTTTGAGAATGAGGCAGTATAAAGGCAACTGCCAGTCGCTGTAACTGCGTAATTTCTCTTGACAGCTTATAGACAATAATACAAGAGAGAATCAAACAATCTGATGCGTAGCCTCATGCTCCAGAGTTGAGCTCCCATGTGAACGAAATGATGTGGTTCTATGCGATGTGACCATCGCGACGTGATTTCACAGCCGAGAGCAAGGCAGGAGACGACGAAGTGAGGGCGATTACTATAATCTACTCCATCGACAAAACTCCATTCGGTTATTATCTGAATATTCCCATATAGATAGTAACGCCGATATAAGACCGCAGCCTTTCAGATCCTCACATCTAGTACACAGTCCTCCTTTCTTCGTTTTGCTTGCTGGGAGTAAACAGCCACTGCAACATCCATATCTTTTGCAGCACTTGAAGCAATTGAATGAACGATGACCACCAGTCTTAACAGCTATTTAAGAGCATACATCAAGTTTTGGTGCCTGAGGTCACGTAGCCATAAGAAATCTCATTCAAAACTAGTGATTCTCAAGGCGAGTGTGAACTATTTGCTGAAGTCGAGCAAAAATGAAGACTCCATGTGCACTGAATATAACTGTTCCAAAGAGTAAACTGATTACCGTGCAAACAAAGGGACGTCTTCCTTTTTGAGTTCGTAATCAACGCTGCTCGATGAAAGAGATAGTAGAGCACTGAAACTTCAAATGAACTTACATTTACAAAAGCAGGAAACAAATACTCACCTTCGCAGGACATTGAGGGCACTTTGCGCAAGGGAATAAGCAGCAGTGGATACTAGGAGGCTTGGTTTGCAGTCGGGTATTGCCAGATGAATCAAGCGGTCAAAGAAATTCCAACTACTTTCCTGCATAGACAAAGACAAAAGTTTATATCATAAAAAGATGATTTTAGCACAAAAAGCATACTATGTCACTAGGAGCAACAATAGAAAAGTCGAGTTTCTTGACAAGCGAAGAGGCGAACGGAATACAGTACTGAAGAATAACTTCTCTGCTTTCTACGCCCCAATCGTCAATGGTTAATGATAGTAGATCGAATATGCAGTCTGTGGGAATAGTCCATCTGAACTATACAATCGTGAAACAACGCCTCATCT